TATATCGCCCTGAGCCTCATCATGATTGAGGCTGAGGTGAGAACATTTTAAGAATTTGAGACTTCTAGATATTAAGGTTAAGGAAGATGTGTATAAGAGACAGCTTCTGGATCCGCCCCTGATTTCTTTTCTTATTATGCTAAATGTACAAAATTAATTAACTTGAAAGAAACGGATTTATTTTTATAGGAAATTTGTATTTTCAAACATAAATTCATTTAGAAGTTAAATCAACCCGACAGTATTTATGTAATTATTCTTTAGAATATTTCCTTCTGTGTTAATTCATTTATGCAACCATTCAATTAATCAATAAATCAATCAATCAATAAATAAGGAAACGAAGCATACTTTTGAATGTTTTTGCTGTCATGCCCTCGCCAACAGGACTTCGACCAGCGGCGTTAAAGGCAACCACGAACACCATGTAACGTGTATTTGGTTTAAGACCCATCAAATCCAAATGAGTAACTTCCGGATCCATTACTTCTTCATATTTTATATCATCTGCTACTCTGTATATTACTTGGAAGCCAAGAAGAACTCCATTTAAATCTTCTCTGTATGGTTTCTAGGTTAAAACAATATCAAGAGTCATTTATTCACGTAGATTTGTATGGAAATTTATAGATACATACCCTCCGATTTTTTATTTTCAACCTGCCTTGAGTACAGACTGATGATAATTAATGATATAGGCCTAGGTGAATAATGCTTACCTTCCAGCGAACTCGTAATTTGGTGGCAGACTTGGCTCGAACAGACACCTCTCTTGCTGGGCTTAAAGGTGCTGGAAATAAAGACATAGGCTAGGTCACATGTATTGACAATGATCAAACCTAAACAAACGAATAGATACCAAGGAGGCACTTTCATGAACCGAGTCACCATTAATTTTAATCTCTCATCGTTGAAAACGTAAAAATCATAAGCTTCCCGTTATTGATTGGCTGTGAAGCAGTGCGAGTCTGAATTATGTCCCAGACATACCGTTAGTCAAGATAAAAACCAAAATGGTGCTCACGCATTTCAGGAAGGGTGACGTTATTACTGCTGACACTAGCTCTGCTGTTACCAGCTTTATTGACCGCGATCAATCGGAATCGATACACTGATCCTGGTTGTAATGCATTCACCTCATATCGTCGTACATCTCCATATATGGCAGACGTAACTCGTCGATAAGCTTTACCTGAAATGATTTAAGAATAGCAATAACTAACACAGTTCGTGGAGTAACAGAAATATGGACTATTGCAGGAATCGAACCAGAAAAATGCGGAGCATATTTGGACGCTTTGCCAACTGCAGAGCTAAACCGCAACCCCTTTTCTCTCTGATCATTCGCATGGTGCTAATTAAAAAATAATTATAACTTCTTATTTATATCGATCAATTATACAATAATAGAACAAATTTGTATAATTGATCGTTTTTTGGTTTTTTTTCCTGTTGAATTGGCTTCATTTCATTTCATTTCTTTAGGCACGAGGGCGAAGGATATGCCAATAAGTGAGATTAATCACTGTCCTACGTGGCATATCCATTTAACAACAAGGGATTCATGGACCATACACCGGGGTAACCCCCTACTCTTCTCGAATGATGTACCGGGTTCTTTAAAGTGCACACGAGCCAAATACGTACACTATGCCTACGGTTTAAAGTCCTTATCCGAGAAGACTTGTTCCACCACCGGAAACATTGGCGAGTGAGCCGTTCGAACCAGCGCCGATATTAGAGCTGAAGGTTACGGTGCCCCTGACTTAACCGCTCGGCCAATCAACTCGCCTAGCCTTCACCAAACACCAATACTCCTTTCCTTCTACGTCCACTACCCGGCCCTTATTTAAATGTCTTTACAATATAATTATGGACACGCGAAGTCTCTGGTTGAAAAAACGGACATTCATGTCATAAACATCATGCAGACCGTGGACCATTTTAATAGTATAGTAAAGAAGTGACATTGACAGATAGGTCTATACTTACTATTCATCTTCTGTTCAAGAATATAGCCGTCAGGTTGGCTGGATCTTTTTGATGTTGCTTGAACCCATTCTACAAGAACCGTCCTACTATCGGCCGGAACGGTTTTCGCTGTCACAGAAATCGGCGGTGCTGGTTTTCCTTTATACAAAAATGCTTAAAATACTTAGTCAATTTAAAATACATTAAGGCAAAACCATGATACATAACTAGACGGCAACAGCTATGTTGAATAATAATAGTAATATCAATATATAAAATAGCAATATCAGTAAAAATATATGGGTAGGGGTTCTTTCGGTGGTGATTGGGAAGAAGCACACGGGTTAAGGACAACCCCTGCGTTCTTTAACGTGCACAAACGCCATTTTTGTATATATATTAAATAGTATTACCATTTAATTGCTGCTTAGCATTGAAACACCAATAATAAATAAATAAAATAGATAATAATACAGTGCTCAAATATATATGATGATGTTATAAAATTGTATCAAACATAGTTTATCAACGAAAGTTCCTTATACCTTGATTCGAATTTTTATTACTGCTGTTTTGATGTGATGTTTCTGTGATTTCCTGTTTTTAATATTTAACAACTCAGTTTTGTAATTTATTTCTGCAAGATATTGTTTTATGTACAGATTATTTTGATAAAAAGATACCAAAAAAGATATATATATATATATATATATATATATATATATATATAAATCATCAAATTTACATATACAGTGTTTAAATAAGAAACACTGTATGTAACTTTGATGATTTATATTATATTAACAGTGTTAACGGCGAACTCCCTTCAATATCATATATAATATACGACAGTATTTTTAGCCGTATTGCCAGATTTATTTGGCCGAACGCCCTCTTGAGGCGTATCATTGTGTAATAAAATGTTCCCGACGGTTATTTGGACCTGTTCAACCATGAAGCCTTCGTGTCTAGTGATTATGACGCTCGCCTTGTCAGCGAGAGGTCGAAGGTTCGAATCCCGTCGGAGGCATTTTATTACACAATGACTTTTATAGGACTTTATTCGTTGAATCCAACCGTTGAAAAGCTACAGGGTAGCCTACGATCTTCCATCATGTCCTTATTTAACCACTGTATATGAACCCTGTCTCTTATACACATCTAGATGTGTATAAGAGACAGTATATAAACAAAACGTATTAACGTTTTCCAACCTGCAACTACAAGAACCCCTTCCTGTCTGTCATATCAAATTCATAGGGAAGTGTAGACAGTTAATAAGTACATGGTTAAGCCTTTTGGATTCTATAGTTTATTGACAAAAGTTACAGAAAAGTAAATGAACACGACTAGTGTATAATGCAATCCATATTATCTATTGAATTAAATATCATAGGCATCAAGGATGGAAGAAAAGGTTTACATGAATATTTCCTGAGGCGCTACTTGCCACTCCTTGATATTAGCGGATGCTTAACCTTTGCTAATTCAAGTATCGATTACTGATAATAATATGACCTACGTGAGTATACATAATACAAGTAAATTATACATTTCTAATTGTTGTTCCCGCTTACCTCATTCGTGAACAATAATATTGAATGAATGAATGAATGAATTAATTAATTAAATGAATGAATGAATGAAAGAATGAATAAATGAAAGAATGAATGTATGAATGAATGGACAAACGAACAAACGAATATGAGCGAGCCACTGAACCAACGAACGAATGAAATTGTTTAGTAATAAGTCAATATCTCACCAATTTCACACCTCGCGCCAGCAAATCCATTGTGACAAATGCACTCCCAAACGTCCCAGTCATTCGGCAGGCACAGTCCCTTATTCTTACAGGGATTTGTGTCACATACGTGACCTGTGACGAAAAGTTTAATATGGATATTATTTTATTGTCAAATGTTATTGTCAAAAAGCATCATAATATAATAAGCACTGGCTATTTTAAGACCTACAGGTTAATATATTAAGACCTATTTGTCTACTTCAATGTCATAACGATATGTACATAAGTTCAGTGGCGTAACTAGGGGTGCGCTTCCCCTCCCCCCCCCACACCCCACAACACCATTGCAGATGTCCAAAGCAAAAAATCACACTCCAAGTAGCTCAAAATCACCTCATATCATCTTTACGACCTAACTTCCCTCACTTGATCATCGAGCCCCTGCCCCACACTTTACCAAACCCCTCACCCCCATCAGCTACCCAATTTCAAGAAAGATGTGCTACTACATCTCACAAACTTGGGAATTAAAGAGTTTATTAAAATATTTAAATTAAAATACTGTATATCTGCCTAGACTACACTTTATAGTTTATATTTAATGGCTTATTACTATAATGTTGAAATCAGTGTACTGTAATTGCAAATAAAGTTCGAGAAATCTAATCTACGTTTGGAGAAATTAGACCTACGTTTTTTACGAAATTAGACCTAACAATTGCAGAAATTATACGCATACTTTTTGATAAATTTTGATTTATGAAATGATTATTACTGATTTTAAAACTAAACCTTTTCTGCTAATGGCATCCCATAATCGTTCTTACCGGGAAGTGTTGTCGCAGGTTGTATCGCTGGTGATGTCACAGGTGTTGTCGCAGGTAATGTCTCAGGTGTTGCCACAGGTGCTATAGTCGGTGCAGGTGAAGTTGCCAAGCATTTTCCTTTGTGATTTTTCTCTATGTGGCCAAATGCTATTGTGCATGACGTTGTAATCAACTCACATTCGTCCGAATACGTCACTCTATCAGTGCCACATACGGGTCCTTTCTTTAAAGATTTTTTACATTCTTTCTTTAAAAAATTCTTGCATTGTTCTGTATCAAAAATAATTAATATTATAAAACAAAATAGCATTAGTTCAAACGAATTGTTAACATACAATTGGATATGACATTATTCTCAATCCATATTATGATTTAATAGTAATGGTAGACTTCATATCGCATTGTGAAAAGACCTCAGTGCGCTTCACATTATCATTAACCAGGTCATTGGATTAAACACCTATACTGTATATGGAACAAAAACTCACAGTATTCCATAATGTTGCAGCGGCTATTCAACGCATTTGGTATTTTACCCTACCGGGTACCCCACCTCCTGGGTGGAGAGAAGCAATGCAGATATAGTGCCTCACTCAAGGACACAAGCAAAATGAACAGCAGAGCGAGAGATTAAAACTCCGGCCTCGAGGTTAGAAAACCGAACCGTTCCTGCTGTTGTAGCTGTGGACCTGGATAAGCTCTGTATGCACGTAATTTAGGAGACAATATCTCAACTGATTAATATGAACCTTAGGAACAACATGGAATGTGTGCCAAAATCTTTATCTGGGACGAAAATCCAGAAATTACCACACCCCTTTTTAAATGGCCACGTCTCCTTTTTCAGTCCCCTTTTTCATTGGATGTGCTATACTTTAAACTGAGGCTAGACATTAGGAAAGTATTGAACACAAGGGTTTTTCTTTTATAAAAGAACACATTATGATGAGGGTACCAAATTTCAGAAATCTCACTTTAATCACAAGTCCCTTTCATATGGAATATTTGTTCATTTATAAAAAAAAAACAAAAACAAAAACAAAAACAAAAACAAAACTCTTTTTAGTGCGAGCAGTGCTACCGTATGTGCGAGTGTTATATACAACTGCGATCAGGGTTGCAGTGGTGGTTATTTATTTATTTTATTTATTTATTTAGGCACACAATACATGTGCCAAGGATTGTCAACAGCGAATATATCACTATCCTACTTGTAGGTGACAATCCCTTACACAAGACAAACATACACACACGATGCTTTACACAAACTAAATCTCCATATCAGATTTAGGGAGTGGAGTTGTTTTGGTCGTGAGAAAAAATCCTGCAACTGGCAGGAATTGAACCCAGGACCCTGGGATTAGAAGGCAAGCATCTTAACCACCAAGCTATTCAACTACACAGTGGTGCCAGCTCTTCCCCGACAGGCTGTGGTACCTCCGACAGGGGGCTAGTACGCCCCCTAAGGGCCAACATTTGGACTCTCAACTTGCATGGTATTCTGTCAAATTATTCTTTTAAAATAAAGAATTCCATAATTAACACATTAGAATTTTTTAATACAAAAAACTCCCCGACAAATTACATTTTCCCCGACCGGGGTGTGGGGGAGGGGGGGCTAGGCTTCCCCGACGAGTCTGTCCTAACTTTTGGGTGTGGACCCTTTGTCGGTGAGCTTGGATTCCTCGTCGGAGAAATTAATGAGGTTTAGTAATTCCTTTATTTCACAATAGAGCATAGTAAAAGAAAATTTTTCTAAATCTATGGTAAAGCCACCTCAAATCGAAGTGGTTAAAATTTGTTGATTAGGCCTATTACTTACTGATGGAGATTCCAGCGACACCAAACTGTAGGAAGACAGTCAAAATCAAAACACCAAAACACAGGTATACAAAACAACGTAACATAGTAGAAAAACTCAAAACAGACTGTTTTAGAAGACAAGAAATCGACTAGAGGCTTCTCTCATGTCTTCACAGTACAAGGAAACAGACAGTGATCAAACGGAGGAAATAAGCATAGTGAAAAGCGGAACCGGTTTTCCGACGGAAAGATCAGAGCTTGACGTCCTGGTTACTTGAATGATAAATTATAGATAGGCCTATAGAGTTATGTACATTAATCCACTATTTCTATGATAACTTTATACTCAGTAATCTTTATACAGTATAATCTTCAGTATAGTAAATAATTTAAGGCCTACGATATCGTATACTATGGTTAATAAGAGATGTTTTGTTGAATCATAATGGTTTTATCCACAGAAAAAAAAAGTAGGCAAAGCGACAATAATGAGATAAGCTACTTTATAAAATAGCCATTTTCCTTCCTCGTCCTTCAAATAAATTGAAATAATAATATTTTTTGGAACTTAAAGTCAGGCTCCGGAGGGGAAAAAAATTTTGATATGTTGTAGAACTGATTTTTCTAGGACAGAAAAAAGTTTTTTGACGAAAAACTGAGCAACGGTGAATGAGATACAGATTTTTGAATATTTAAAAACTGGGGGAAAAAGGTGTAAAAATGGGTGGTTACGCCCCTTTACCCCCCAGTTTTTAAATATTCAAAAATCTGTAGCTCGTTCACCGTTCCCCAGTTTTTCGTCAAACAACCTTTTCTGTCTTGGAAAAATCAGTTCTACAACATATCAAAAAATGTTTTTCCTCCGGAGTCGACTTTAAGATAACAACAGACAAATTTACAGACTAAAACATTTATTAAAATTGATAACACAACTCAATGGGAAATACAGGAAGAAGGCTGGGGTGCAAGGGGTGCGGCCGCCCCCCCCCCCCCACAAAAAAAGGAAAACAAATTCCACTGGCCTAGGCCTATGCATACAGTAAGAATGAATGAATGAATGAATGAATGAATAATACTCAATAATAAAATAACAACAACAATAATAATAACATAAATCAAGGTAGCCCTTAACACTGTTAAATCATATATAAATCATCAAAGATTTATGTTATATGCACCTATTTGTTTCTAGCCGTACCTATTGTGTAATAGAGTGTATCTGGTGGTATTTGAATCTGTTCAACCATGAAGCCTCCGTGGTCTAGTGGTTATGACACTCGCCTTGACAGCGAGAGGTCGCAGGTTCGAGTCCCGCCAGAGGCATTTTATTACACAATTTCTTTATTCATTTATTTACAGGACTACATTCGTTGAGAGCTATGCTACACGAGTTATGTTTAATATTCTACGACGCGACTGCCCTCGACGCACACCATCGCGTCTGCGTTCAACTCACAAAGACCCGACGTGACAACAAATCGCGTCGGGCTGCGTCGGCCGACGCTGTCTGATTGGCCTTAAGGGTATATTATTTCTAATTTGCATGGCAATTTTAAACAATTCTGGAATACCTTTAAAATTAAAAAATATGGGGAAACAACTATCTCATGTGCACAATGGTTTGAACATTTCCAGTTATTATCTAATAAGCAACATAATGATAATTATGATCAACCAAATGAAATAATAGATGATACTTGATGAAGATGCACAACAGTTAATAAAGAATATAACACTGGATGAAGTTGCAGATAAGTATAAAACAGTTAACCAGACATCTGCGAGGGCCAAGGTTCTATGCGGGCATTCGTAAAATATTGCACTACTGTATTTTCGATGATGTAGACATGGCAACTAACGAGGGAGTGCTCGTGTTAATTTGAGATGACAAACACACTTAAGAGCAGATAGTTTCAGTTTTATCGTATGTAATCATGGCAATAATCAGGTGGTAGAAGTACCTCATGAAACAGCCTGTAGTGCAATAAAATGTTGAATTTGTAACCAAGCGTCATCTTGTTTTGATTTTATATATATATATATATATTTTTTTTTTTTTTTTTAAATATATATTTTATATTATATTTCACACAATAGGCCTACTTATTATAATTCGTTTCATGAGGTTCTTTGTGATTTTTTTCCCCGTTTAGGCTGGACACAATAAGAACTTCAAAGACATGACAATTGAGCAAGTGAAAGGAATGCTGGGAGCTAAGCCAGTGCCAGACAGCATGAAGCTACCCCTACTTAAACAGCCAGTCACTGTAAAACTTCCTGATAACTTTGATGCTAGAGAGGCATGGCCAAATTGCCCCACAATCAAGGAAATCCGAGATCAAGGTTCATGCGGGTCTTGCTGGGTAAGTGTTTTATTCCAATCATGCCCTAACCAGAACAGATTCAGATGAACACACTCAGATAAACCAAGGACATTTATACCTGGAGAGGAAGCTCGCTGATCTCGCACTTCACTGACGATTCTAAACTCAAAATAGGCACACTAATTTCAATTTTGAGTACAAAGAAATTATATCTAACAAATAATTTCAATATATAAAAATAATGCAAACATTTTTATTAATTTAATTATAAATTGATGTAATATACTGTTCAGGATTAAATAATAAGCTCACAGGACATCGACCACACATCACAAACCGTGTACATTGTGAATAAATTATGCAAAAAGGGAGCGTGTACAACTAGTTTTACTTAAAATATATTGCTCGCAAATGCCAATATTCTATTATTTTAAGACCTGCCTTAATTTTTAAGTGTAAATCAAATCGGTATAAAAATTCCTTTGTTAGCAATGCTATAAACTCAAACTTTCATAGATAATGCAATACAATACTGTTCATGTATGTGCAAATAATTACCAGGTGCTATAGCACTTTCTTTATATTTGTACTTACTCTTAAATGTATTTCATATATTTACTGTTTTAGTAGCTAGCAAGTTTGTTGTTTTTTATTTATCAAGCATCAAGATTGTAATTTCATAGTTCACTTGTTTGGAATATGACAATAAAGCTACAATACAATACAATACAAAAACTTTTAGTACAATCTGAAAGAACAGATTGAAGTTAAACTAAGTTTATGAATTTAACGTCATAAAATGTTTTATCTTATCTTATCTAAAATCAAATGACACAAAATTATTGCCATTAAATAAGTATTTTGTTGATTGTATTACTTGTAGGCTTTTGGTGCAGTGGAGGCAATGTCTGATAGGTACTGCATCCACTCAAATGGATCTGTTAACCACCACATCTCAGCAGAGGACTTGACAACATGCTGTAGTTCATGTGGAAATGGGTGAGTATAAAAACACTACACAATAGTGGTCATGATCAGTGGTGTATCTAGGTGGAAGAAT